CGTGCATACAGAGAACGTGTCTGGGGAAATAACGGTCACGGGCATACAGAGAACGTGTCTGGGGAAATAACGGTCACGGGCATACAGATAACGTGTCTGGGGAAATAACGGTCACGGGCATACAGAGAACGTGTCTGGGGAAATAACGGTCACGGGCATACAGAGAACGTGTCTGGGGAAATAACGGTCACGGGCATACAGAGAACGTGTCTGGGAACTTGTTAATGGTGGGATTGTTTAATTTTATTAATAAAGCTTCTTTGATTTTTCTTCTGTTAATACCGGGCTCATGTTTTAGTATGACATTCTGTTCAGAAAAACTGTGGGTGTTTTTGTTCATATGTTGGTGTTCTTTTAACAAGATGTTCAAGTTACGTCCTGTTTCACCTACGTTACACTTTATTTTGTTAATGTTTCCTGATGCGTGGATTCGTTATATAATTTTCTTAACAATTGTTTAATTTTCATTCTACGGGTGATAATGAATCTATTCGTTATATTAAGGTTATATTTTTGTGCTAGCCTTTTCCACGTTTCTGATAAATGTATACTAATATTTTCAATATATGGAATATTAAAAGTGATTAAGTTTCTTTGTTTTGTGGAGTGCTTTTTGAGTTTGTTTAGTTATTAAACGTGTCCTGTCTGTGTTGTTGTTTGATTCATTAATAGTTTATGTAACTACTGTAGTAGAGAATTGTATTTTTAAAGAAAGCATTAAGTGAGTAACTTCTTCATCGTTATTTTCTGGAGTGCATATAGTGTATGCTAAATTTAGGTGGCTTTTTAGATTTAGAGTATTTAGCTTCTGGTGGATTACATTATTAGAAATCCAGTTTTTGAAATTTCCACTTTGTTTGTTGTTTATGAATTTTAGTGGTGAAGCCTTTGGGGGTTCGTGTGATGTTAACGTTCAAAACATTTATCGTGTAGTTATTTTCACTTTCCACTGTGAATTGTACGTCTTTATGAAGGTTGTGTATGTATTTAAGAAATTCGTTTGTTCACTTTGAAATGTAAAGCCGAAAAAAACATCATCTACATATGTAAACCAAAATGCAGGCTTATATGAGGAGGTGACTACAGCATGTTGTTTTAGGCGATTGTAAGAAAATAATAGCCAGAATATCTAATAATGGATTTCCAATAGCGAGTCTATGTAAGTGAAGGGAGTACGAATCTCTGTACTGAAAGCAAATAAATATGGCTAGTTGTAATAGCTCGATTAGGTGCTCACGTTTTATGTTGGTTCTCTTTTTTTGGGACTTGTGAAATAATTTCTGCAGTAAGTTACATTGCCTCATATGAGAAAAGAGGTTTGAGGAAATAGATTTACGATATCAAAGTTAGACATAATGACGTTACTATTAAACGATATAAGTGTTGTAAGAGGTGTGAAGTGTTTTTAATTGGGTGCTTATCTTCAAAACATAAGGTTCCACAACCTAGTTGAAGTATTTACCAAGTTGTAGTTTAGGGAGATATAAGACATAACTTAGATTTTTGGTGTTCTTGGTTGGTTTGTATGCAGAAAATTTTCAAGTTTAAAAGTAATAATTTTTCATTTAATAATATCTTAAGTAATTTGCTCAATTTTTGTTGTATGTTGGGTTAAGGTCAATATTTGACTGAGTAAATTTAAACGTATCATTCATTATATTTACCATTAAGGAATCATACTGTTTGGTCGATACAATCACGAAAGAGTTACCTTTATCGGCTTTTTGGATGACAATTCTCCGTTGTTTCTAAAATATTTTAAGCCTTTTCTTTCTGCTGATGTCAAATATTGTTTTATAGGCTTATTTTTCCTTATTTTTCGATGAATAACAAGTGGATTCTTTTTGTGGTCTTGGACTTGGAATTAATTGCTGTTGATTGGTTTTGTGATTTGATTCTATTATTACTTTCCTATAGAGGTCTTCAAAGTTGTTTTGTAAATCCAACACTTGGATGATGGGAGCAGTTCTGCGTAATTAAGACCTTTATTTAGGGCTGTGGGTTGAGATTTATTGAGTTGAAAGTTCGCTAGGTTGATCATGTTGTTCTTTACCTTTATAGGCTGTTTATATGACAATGTATTTGATGTTCTTAAAATATTTTCAGCCTTTTCTTTCACCTGATGTCAAATTTTGTTTTATAGTTTTTCTTATTGTTTAGTATTTTCGAGGTTTTTCTCTGGTTCCAAAAGCCCAGAAAAATCAAGCCCTTTTGATAGCCATGTACACTTTATATGGAAACTACAACCTGTATAATGGAAACCACAACCTGTATAATAATCAAATTTCGAATGCTACAAAAGTTTTAATATTTGCGATGCATCTGTTTTTGTTGCCTATTTGAATTCTTAATGTTCCGTTTTTTATTTAGATCAGTATTCACATTTTTATTTTTGTGCAGAGAAAACTTATGAAAAGCGAATTCTTAATACTTATCTTAACATAAATTCATTTGACGAGTTTTAATTCCTAGCTTAGAATCGACGTCAACCAATAGATAAGTACTTGAACGAAACGTAAACAGCATGTTCGATGATGACAATAAGGAATGAAGCAAACTTCTTGATTCAAAAATGATTGTATTCTAGTTACTCTCCAAAGCTTTTCACATGTGCTTCCTAACAGAGTTCGTTTATTTTTGCCTAGAATATAACGAATTTCATTTACACAAGTTTTCTGTTAACTTCTCCTCGCAAACAAAATCAACATATCAATGTTTTTCTTATTGATGTGCTGCTTGTTATTCATATTTTGTCTATTGTTTTATAATTCCTTCTTGTGAACCTGAAAAATATTTTACCAGTACAAAATTTATTTCCCTTAGAGTAATTAACTCCTAAATCATACTACATTCAAATTACTTTAGAAATTTGTAAATTTGACTTTTTTGTTATTTAAGTAAGAACATCTGGTATTGGTCGTTAATTAATTAAGTTAAAGACTTGGAACTAACTGTTTGTTGTTAGAATTTTTTGTACAAAGGTACACAAGACTATCTGGGTTAACCGTCCAACTAATTTTCACCTAGTAATCTAGAAGGGAGGCTCCTAATCAACAGCACCCATCGCCAACTATGTGGCCACACTTGACGGAAGAGTAAGATGTAAGCTATTTTATAGCGCACCTACGGCTCCAAAGTGCAATGCATGTTTTTCGGCATAGGGAGAATAAAATTCTGAGATTTGTAATCCATATTTTAATCATTAAGCGACACACAGCCAGATATGGAAATGGAAAATAACAGTTATGTAATATTCATGTAAAGCTGTGTGATCGTCTTTAGAATATCTCAATAAAATACGGATATGCTGACGTCTTGTATCATTTTTCTAATATTTCAAATTCTAAAAGAAAAGTTGACTTTTACTAAGATGAAATTTTATTGTTTTTATATTGCAAGAAGTAAAAAGTTACCTGTATCTAATACAGACACCATATTTGTCGTCAAAAAATACATTGAAGCAAACAAATATTTACATAAAATGAATGTTTAAGTTTTGGGCTCTAAATAAATCGGAAAATTAGTTTGGTTTATTATGTTCCAACATATAGTTTTGCTATTTTTAAAATATTAATATTATATATTTAAATAAATTGTTAGAATAAAATACACAATTAAAAGTAACCTGTAAACTGTCGATAATAAAATGTAAGTTAAAACTGTACGAACGTACAAATTAGTACTTACAAAAAGAAAAACAAAAACTTTTAAATTGCTAAAGAATTCAGTGTGATAAGTTACAAACTCTTCAGAAGATACAGTAAAATGAGCAAGCTCAAAACGATAGATCTCAGTCCTCCACCTTTCAGGAAAATGTTTTCGAAAAGGGAGTGAAATAATAAATTTCCGTGTGCAAAATTTTAAAGAGGCTTCTTATGAACAGTTGAAGTTATAAATCAGCTATAATTTCAATTGGAAGCTGGAATAGGAAGTTAATACGAACTTTCCTAACCCGAGCTCGTTACGGCTTTGTGTCTTAATAAGAAAATGTTTAAACAGTTATGAGAAAAGACAAAATATCAAATTTCTCTGGATCAAAAATTATCTCGATTCACGATTCTGTTAGGATTAAACTCGATTGTTATTATCGCAGCAAAATCGGATATGTAAATATTATAAACATTCGGTAGTGGCACGTGTAACAAGATTCTTGATTTACCACTGTCAACAGTTAGAGGTCTCAAGACAGTGTGCTGTTGTCTTTAATATTAGATTTATTATATCTTGATAAAAACTATAGCGTCTTCAATACGCAATAACATTACTCTCTCCATGCTCTGTAAATACTGAAACTGGCCTCGTGTACCACTGACTCAAACAGGCGCAGTAGAATTTCCAAGTCTTGACCTTCAGTTCGTATATCAAAGGAAATGTCAAACTACAAACACACCCTTCTGTATATTTTTTTGAGATTTTGAATTACTTTAGAAAAACAAGAATACATCTATATCTTCACTTTCTTTCTAATACTGTTTATCTCTTCATGTCTTATATTTATTACCGTAATCACAAGAGACAGGACACGCTGTTTATGTTGTAGTGTTTTAAGGGTATACAGACAGTTGTATCTAACAGCACGAGATACTAGGTTATTACGCATGCTTCAGTTGTCATGTTTTATTATCATTTGAAAACTGAATCTCACATCTAGATAATCTTACGCTATTTCAATTTTACACGTGTAGTTTTGTACATCGTTCATATAGCATCCAAACTGATAGAAATGTGTCGTGTTGTTGATTTGACGTCAACATTATCGCTGCTTTGTTATAAATGAACATGAAATGCCGGTAAAACATATAGTATATTACGTTTGCTCAAAAAATTGTATCACGTAATCATTTAAAATGTAATTACACGTAACTTTAGCACGATGTGTATTTAGTATATTTATAAGTTGCTGTGAATAACCAAACAGGGATCTGAATACGGATATATTCAATCGAGTCATGTAGATGACATTCAGTTTATGTTTCAAGCATCTCACAATCAGGATAAATATACGCAGGCTATTTCGACAGCAACTAACAATAGGTTCCAAAAAAGTTATATATATATACAGCTTGTTGTCATAAAAAAGAGGATTCCAAATGTTTTTTCACGGCATAATAATATTATTAAGCATACGAAAATATGAATAAAAAAGGCATTAGTAAGACAAACAATGCTTAAAATAGGATAACAAAAAATATTTAAGTTTTATTTGTTGAATTTCGTGCAAAGTTACTCGAAGGTTATCTGCGGTAGTCGTCCCTAATTTAGACATGATAGAGTAGAGGGAAGGCAACTAGTCAACACAATACTTCTCCAAATCTAGGGCTACTGTTTATTAACGAATAGTGGGATTGACCGTCACGTTATAACGCCCCACAACTGAAAGAGCTATGTTCGGCGACTGGATTCGAACCCGCGACCCGCAAATTACGAGTCAAGTGCCATAACCACCAAGCTATTTCAGGCTGTAAAATATTTTAAATTGCAAGTTGAGTTTTAAAAATGTTTTTAACATTGGTGGAAAATGAATTACATAATCTTAGACGTAAAAACTAGGGCTACCAGATTTACAAAGTAAAAAACTGGAATTTTTTCCCACGTGGAGCGACACTGTAACAGCCTCGAAACAATTGAAATTACAATAATACACTTTTTCATATGCTAAATAATCTCATGTTCATTGCATCACGTTTTAACACCACAAACAATATTTGTTAAAAAACTTAAACAACTAAACAGTTGAAAGATTATAAATAAAATTAAAAACGTACTAAGTTGTTTTGAGCTTACTGAAAAGAAAAAATTTGTTTATTCTTTTTTTGCGGCTAAACAGGTTTTCAAATCTCAATTCCTACGACCGCCTAGTGACAGGAAACGTAGTAGAGGGAAGGTACACTGTATCGTGTAACTTCTCTTTCTCAGGTTATTCTAAAAAAAAAAAACTTCAAAAGAATTGTGTATAATGACAGATCTTACATGCCAAATTCACACAGAGAAACTAAGCAATTTAATACTTTTGCTTCTTCTGATCGAGACAAAAATTAAGGCTAAAAACTGGGACTATCTCAAGTTTACCGGGACATCTGTTAACCCTGGTAAAAACTTGCCTCCAAGTTCGTATACTCACACGTTTAGCAAATCACAATTTCAATCCGTTATGAACCTGAAATGTCGTCTTAGGAAAACGATTCTAGGACTGTGTTCGAAGGTTTGTTTGCCAACAAGGAATTTTGATATAATTCTAAACACTTGAAGTTTCTTTAGGCAGCATTCAAGCAGTATCAGTTGCTACTGTTTTTTCCTTTTTATTTATTTATTTGTTACCAGAAACCGTTTGGCAATGTTTGAATAGTAATCACACAAGAAATATCGCTCTTATGAAAAACTCGATCATTTGATTTGTATAATTCTCATTATTGAAACAAAAGCTGTTCAATTGAAAAAGAACAACACCAACATCTGCTCCTACCTTGTATTGGAGCAATCTTTACGGCGAACCACAGAGGGTGCGTTTATTGGGCTGCATTGCTTCAATAAAATGTACTGAATGCCCAGTGTACAAGAAGTAAAACAAGTGTTATGTTAGAATAAGCAATGGAATATAAACTATAAACTAGTATTAATCATTTGATGTTGAAAAAAGAACAACTGTTAATGCTATATTCCCTCCCCCTCTCAAGGCGTATGTATAATTAATCAACAGTGTTGTTAAAAATTGTTTCTGATAATAACATTCTTTCCTGTAATTTTTTTTTTATAGTTAAAGGTTCGTGTTAATTTTGTAATCAAACTGTTAGTGTTACTCTGTTCTGTTTTGCTGTTTATCTATTATTATGTTTATTAGGTATATTTGTATTAAAATATTATGTTAATGAAAATTTTATGTTAAAAAGACTGTGACTGTTAACCTGCTTGGAATGGTGATTGTTAAATAAAGATTTGCTTTATTTAAGGCTCCTGTTCTTTTTATCACAATAAAGTGCTCTTAAGATGTAAGCTTACAGTCTGTAGCTATATGAGTTTCGCACGTAGCATCAAATAAGTAAACATAAACAATGTGTATATTTTTTAATATAAAAGTATAATTACTGTTCTATATAGCGTGCTTTTAAACTTCATGCGAATGCTTATCCATGATGAAAGAATTAGCATAAAGAATCACCAAAAAATCGACTAGATTTCAAAGGACCAAGAATCTCATAAGACATCAAGTTTCTGAGAATTGTTTTTCTTTTACATTTGATTGTATTATCTCTAAAATTAAAAGTTTTTTATCAAATATAAAATAGTTGCTTTGGTAAAATCATCAGTACATTATATAAATTAGTATTAACAAAGGTTCGAGCTTTCGTTCGGTAATGTGTTTCAAACATTCGAAGGTGAAAATTTACCCTGATCACTGTAATCATTGGTCATCTTATTACAGGGCGTTTCTTTTACTTTACCCGGCAGTCTCCTGGGTCCGGAGTACAGTATGTCATTCTCAGAAGAAGGTTTTACGGGAGATACATTCAAACTCCCATCTTTGGAATTTAGCGAACCTATGGGAAGCTTCGAAGTGCCACCAGAGAGTACTGCTGTAGCTAGCAGCTTAGAAGAGATATTCCAACCAGAATTCACTTCTATAACTACTTGCGCAGTTCCGACCACCTCTTTGTCCGATCTCACCAGCAGTTCCACTGTGATGGTTACAGCTACGGGCACTCTCCCCAGCTTTGAAGAAACATACTCTCCAAGGTATCGCCGCGATGTGGCACAACCGGAAGTTTTTTCCTTCAAATATGAAGACCTACCGTCACAACAGCTAGAACATTCTAGCGTGATTGAGAGCTTTCCACCCTCGCTAGTTGGTATGCAACCTTCAACCTCATCTTTTCCTTTTCAGTCTTCGCAATCAATGGAACTCTATAGGACAGAGGGACCGGAGCTGTCCTCCTTTATTTCTCCAGTCATTCCACTTTCGCAGTCTCCTTCAGCTGCTTATGTAGCTCATAGTTACCCAAGCCCACCGGCAACAGTGCACGAGCCAACTTTTCCACAAACTAGATACCTGGAACACCAGCAAACTTCACCTCATTCTACGTACCAAGAAGCTTCCTCTTTTCCTGCAGCCTTACAAATCCTACCACTGCACGAGAGCCCGACATTTGGCTTACAGTCCGGTCAGTCATCTTCAGAAATTCCTTTTCTAACTGAAGGAACATCGCCCTCAACTAGTGCAACCCCCAAGATACTAAGGCGAGCTTCTGTTCCAATTACAAGTTCCATGGCTATTCAAACAAGGTATACTGATACTCAGTCTTTCTATTATATAGGTTAAACTGTGCTTTGTTTTGATGAAACACATTAGCACAGTTCTTCATAAAATTTGGAGTCTATCATTATTGTCTCAATTGATTATTTATTTGTAAGTGAAATAATAAAATATACCCTTTCACATACCAAATAGTTTAGACTAAAAATAAACCCAATCAGACTTGCCACAGTATTTGCTGTATTTCTTAACTCACCTGTAAAGCTACAAAAAAAAAACGCTACTTGAAATAACCTAACAGCTTGGACTCTTGTCTAAACCATTATTTGACAAAAGTCACCAAACCTGGCATCTACCCTTAGTAACCACGGAGACTGACATCTTACCCCCATATCACACACCCCTGGGACTTCCCTGTATATTGAACGGGTACGTTAGGTAGTTTGAAATAAAATAAATTAAATGACAATTGCATCATATTCTATTTGAAAAGCACTTAAATAAATACATATATTCTTTTCAGAAACATTCCACTGAAAATGATAAACAAGCGTCTTTACCTTATTAACGATTTGATTATTATAGAAAGTAATATATATATATATTAAGCATATTTTATGGCATTCCATATTCATATAAGAATAAATATTTCGCCGCATATTTTTTGTAATTTATAACTCTGATTTGTGTTCTACAGAATGCTGAAAACAGAATTAATCGTTATTAGCTTGGAGAAAATTCTGTATAGGTGAACCTGAAGTTATCTTTTTGATTATTTTTCTATTAATATTTCAGCCAACCGCCATGTCTCCGTGCCCACTCTTCTCCACCCACACCTACAACAACAGAGCCCACCCCCTCTACTTCCCAGCTTTGTGCAGTATGTGGAGACAATGCTGCTTGTCAACATTATGGAGTTCGTACATGTGAAGGATGCAAAGGGTTCTTCAAGGTAAACTAGCCGATCGGTTGGAAAACATAAGGATTTTTGTTGTGTTTATAATTATGTATAAACTCTGTCAGAAACTTATATCTTCCAATCAATCAAATAGTTCGATATTTACTGATTCTTTCAAATTCACGATATAAGATTAACATGTGGAACAAAATGGGTTTGGACTACAGTCTTGTTAAGGAGATTAACCTGAAAAGTTGAGAAGTTACTATGAGTTGAATTAGTAATCGTCAACTTCTAAGTCTATAACCCGTAAAGCACTCATTAGTTCCCTCTCGACCTATTTAATACAATATGTTTTAGACGCTTTTTTTTCACTTGTTTCGATTAAGTTTACTTTCATTCTACGAACTATGGAGTAATATAAGGTAACCATTTCCATTATTACTTTAAGTTATTATCGATGTAGTTGCTATTTATATTTTTATATTATTTGTTTATCAAGATTTTCCTTTGTCTGTATTTAATTAAATGAAAATATATGAAACGCTAAACAATAAACGCTTACTCGAAATTTCAATGCTTTTACTCAGTCCACAGTATTACCGTATATTCAGAATTGAAATTTTAAGAATGTGAGACTTATAATCACACACATACACAATCTAGCTCAAGTTTAATTCCTCGCAGTTTTGTTATATTTTAACAGAAAAATTCAACGAAAATTAAAATAAACACTTAAAGCTTTACTTGCATATATTTTGTACTGATCGCATACGACTGAGGTTAAGTTTTTTTTTTTTAGAAAGTGAGTATAAAAAACTTCTTATGACCTTTAGAATGAACAACTTTTGGAGCAATAATAAAACTAGTTTGTAAGGATTCTAATTTTTATCGTTTTGCCACAAATGAGCCAATCATCTTTTTACAGGATTTTGTAAATTTGTTCGAAGATAACAAACCAATGATACTCCGTCAACTTTTTATCTTTGTCAACTCCAAAATTTAAGAATCATTATTAAAACAGTTTTTAGTGAATGGAGATTAAAGTATTAAGAAAATTATAACATCATTCAATTGAAAGTTTAATGTTTCATAATTTTGTCGAAGAAAGGAATAGTTTTTTTCTACATGGAAGAATTGCAAAAGTCGGTTTTTTTATGAATACAACCTGGAAATTACACTTCGAGTAGCCCCCCAGTGACTTAGTGGTAAGCCAGAAGGCTTATAATGCTAAAAATCAGGTTTTGATAGACGTTGTGGACACAACACAGATAGCTCCTTGTATATCTTTCAGCTTAACAATAAACAAACTCTTCGAGTAAAAATGTCCGACTAGAAAATTAAGTGTATGAATTAACTTGCCTTAGACAAACGGAAAATCCATGGCTCACACACAATAAAAGCTTTTAACTGTAGTTGTTTATTTTTAATTCAGAGTATAAAATAAATCTAACCTGCGAAAAATTTCGTTTTTTTAGTATAATAATTTTAATAATACTTAAGTATCTCTAGAAAAATTAGCTTTCTTGATTTTTAACTATGAATAAATATATATTTGTAAATGCGATCATACATTTTCAGTTGATGTTGTTTTTGGCAATTCACTGTATTCACCGTGGATACATAAGGCATGTTTCAAAATTATTTTCTAAAATGCGTAATGAAATATATATTTATTTTGATGTACAAATTTACTGCAAGTTACTTGTTATCAAACAAATAAGTCTCTTTTGTTCTAAAAGTTTATGTGAATGTTTTTCTCGTGCCCAGTGAAATTAAGAACAAATGTGTTTTATCATCATCACCGATATCCTAATATGCTTAACTTGTATTTTAGAGAAACATCGCTAGTTGTGTTTCTTGTGATAATTCAGCATGTTCTAATTGTTTTAACTTTTTATAATAATTGACGACAAAGTGTGGAGAAGTGATGCTTCGTGGGAAAATGAATAATTTCATTTTAATGACAATATTTCAATAATGATGTAACACAAGAAAATCGACTTTGTATAGAAGTTATGAATACTAATAAAATAGATTGCATAATGACGCCAGTGTTTCTAGTAGGTGGCACTTTGATAACATTTCGATGGCAGTATTGTTTAGGAGTGCCTGGGACGAGCGTTAACTACTACCAATAGTTTAAGCTTGACTTTCCTTATAATTAGTACTATCATTCTTTGGTGCATTTTAAACAATTTTCAATAAGAACGAGGGTTTTTATGCTCGAGCAAATAAATCTGACTTGTATTAGTGAAGGAATTATTTAGAGTTAGCAGTGTTAATAAAATAACCTTGTAAGTATATGCCACAATTATAACTTTAGTAAACATGTAAATAACATATTACAGGTACAGTGGGTTTGTTTTTCTTTTAAATATATAAACAACACAGGGGATAATATGATTATTGATTCATGACCGTGACATGTACGAACCACAAGTGAATTTGTTACATTAATTGGGCAATTAATTACAATTATAACTTTAGTAAACATATAAATAACATATTACAGCTACAGTGGATTTGTTTTTCACAATAATAATAATTATAAAATACAATTTTCATCATAATCCAAAGACATCTTATTTGGGAGGGATACAAAACACACATAGCATTGTGCTCCATGTAATGATTGCACGTCTTCGGATTTACAACGCTAAAATCAGGAGTTCGATTCCCCTAGGTGCACTCAGCAGACAGCCCGATGTGGCTTTGCTATAACAAAAACACATACTTACTTGCTGCATACGAAGTGTATCTATGAGTGTGAGCAACAATGGAAGGGTTTTAGAGAGCGAAGGGTTAGGTTCAAAATGAAGTGACTTGCTAATAGTTGCCTTACTTCAAACATTAAGGTCACATTATGAGTCGAAAACTTCTTTGTGGTCTGGTTTTATAAGGACTTTGTACTATTAATATTTATTAAGCTGGTCTATAGGAAGGTGAATGAGATGGATAGTTTTGAGTAAGGAAACTTAATTGTATGGAAAGAGGTCGTATGACTGAATACACTTTCACGTACAAACACGTGAAATAATCCTTTACAGAAATCATTCGACAAAACATAAATGATAAATAACTACTTTAATTGCTTCGATGTTTACGAAGAAAAATTATTTAAATGGTTTTGTTTCCCATCAAACGTTTATTAATGATTAATAACTGATGATCCTTTCTTACAGCGCACAGTCCAGAAGGGAGCGAAATACGTTTGTCTCGGAAATAAAGATTGTCCAGTGGACAAACGTCGCCGCAATCGATGTCAGTTTTGTCGTTTTCAGAAATGTCTTGCTGTTGGTATGGTCAAAGAGGGCAAGTACTAGTTTTTGTTTGGCATTGCATTTAGGATGTATCAATTTCTCGGAGTTATTAAACAAAACAATCCATACTCAGTTTTGTTAATTTCAATCATGAGTGCATGTTTCTATTATAACTGTTGTACACTACTGAGGTTTTAGTTGATATTATATTCAACAATCAAAATTCATGTTTTGTTCTTTCTTTACATTTTCACAATTGAAGATGTATGTAGTGGTAGTGCTCTCATATTCTGGTTAAGAACTGCTTTTATTAATTTAATGGCAAGAGATTCTATCATTTTATTTTGCACAAAGCTACATGAGCTCTATCTGCACTTCTTATTCCTAATTTTTAACTGATGGACAGAGGGAAGACCGCTAGTCAACACCACCCACTGTCAACGCTTTGGTTGGTATTTACCAATGAATAATGGGATTGACCATCACGTTATAACGCTCTCACTACATAAAGAGAGAGCATGTTCGCTGATGGAATTCGATCCTGATGACTTGGGATTGCATGTAGAGTTTTCTAGCCATCAGGCCATTCTGGATTTTGAAATCCTTTTTTTTTCCCTACGTTTCAACTTATAATCTTAAATATTTTCTACACTGGCTTTTAAAATTCTCTATCTTCCGTGTTTTAACTTATAATCTATAACATCTTATACTGTCTATTTTCTCTGTTTCAATTTATAATCACTAATATTTCATTCTGGCTTTTGGAATCTTCTGTTTCCTGTACTTCGTTATAAACTTAGACATTTTCTATTCTGGCTTTTCATATCCTCTGTTTCATCTTATAATCTTAGTGATTTTGTACCTTGGCTTTTCACATCCTGTTTTTTCCGTGTTTCAACTAATTATTTTAACCATTTTGTGCTGTGATTTTTGAAATTCTCTATTTTTTCTGCTTAAACTTATAATCTTAAACATTTTATATTGTGCCTTTGGAATTCCTCGGTTTTCCCGGTTTCAAATTATAATCTTAAATATTTGGTACTCTGGCTTTTCTGTGTTTGTTTGCCTGCTTATTGTATTGTGCTCAAAGCTACACGAGAGCTATGTGCGCTAAAAGTTCCTAAGTTTGAAGTGATAGACTAGAGGATTTGTTTTTATTGTTTCTTTTTGTTTATTTTGATTTTGCGCAAAACTAATCGAAAGCTATCTATGTTAGCCGTCCCTAATTTAGCAGTGGTAGACTAGAAGAAAGGTAGCTAGTCAACACTACCCACCGCTAACTCTTTACGAACGAATAATGGGATTGGCCATAACGTCATATCGCACAGATGACTGAAAGGGCGAGCGTGATCGGTGACGGGATTTGAATCTGCAGATTGCGAGATAAATTCTCTAACCAACATTTTGGATTCTTTCTGTTGAAATCATCTATTTTCTGTGTTTTAACTTATTATCTTAGGTATTTTTTAATCCTGTCTTTTGAAATATTTGTTCTGTGTTTCAACTTATAATTTTAAACATTTTCTACTCTGGCTTTTAAAATACTCCATCTTCTTTGTTTCAAGTTTTATTCTATAACATTTTATCTTATCTATTTTATGCGCTTCAAGGTATAATCTTAAACATTTGTACTCTGGCTTTTGAAATTCTCTTTTTTCTGGATTTTAAATTATACTATTTAACATTTTGTAAGTTGGCTTTTGAAATCTTATGTTTTGTGTGTTTCAGCTTATAGTATTAAACATCTTATCAGGTGTTTCAACTTGTAATCTATGTAATTTTCAGCTCTACGATTTTAAATCTTATGTTTTATTTCTTTCAATGAACAATCACACCTTATAAATAACATTTTAAAAACAGTGTTTATTTAATATAGTTATAAATCACTTATCTAATATGTATATCCCTACAGCTAGTGTATTTAGATTTCTTTCAATTGAGCAGGATGCCATATAACATTGTTTTGAGTGTTTAGTTAAATCTGAACTAGTAGGAAAATGTGTGAATTTTTATTTATAGCCACATAAAGAGTTTCGGCTGTAATGATGTTGAGTGAGGTTTATAAATACTGCATGTTGTTATATCATTGTGAGATTCCACTCTGCATTTTCTTTAGACCTAGTAGATAAAGGAATTTAAATAATTAAGAATAAACATTGTTTCCTCCGTCCGTTTACCGTTTTTCTTAATAACTAAGTAAACTAATGATTAAGTTATTATATTATAATTTTAGTAATAAACATCTTTGTAACACAATTCTAAGATTTCGCTGAAGATTGAATAAGTTATTCCGAAACGTTCAAACCTTGTAAATAAAATGTTTTATGTTTTATCAACCGTCTTCATCTTTATTATTAAACTTCGGTTCCCCATTATGAATCCATTTCTTGGCTATGTATTTGAGTTTTCACTAATATTTTGCATCTAGGGGAGGTAAATGGTAGTAGTGGTGTTCTTCTTAGGGAGTTTATGATTAAAGTGGAGGTGTAACCGTTCTTTTTAAAACACTCTATGATATTTTGGCGTGCTGCGTTAATGGGTGTCTCGTCTCAAATGTTTTTTGCTCTCTTATTTAGCCATTAAATTATGCTACGTTTTACCGAGGTTGCATCATAGATCTGAAAGTGTAGGTATATATCAGTGTGGATGGGTTTTCTGTATACAGTTGTGATGATTGTTCTCTCTTGTCTGCTGATGAGTATGTCTCTTGTCTACAGAATGTTCTAGGAAGGCTGGTAAGTTTTCAAGACCGTGAGGTCAGATAACAAAAATGACGTCAACATAACGTCTGTATAAACTTGGTTTTTAGATGTGTGGACGAGAGGGCTCTTTCTTCAAAGTCTTCCATGAAAATGTTTACTAAGACCGAAGAGAATGGTGATCCCATGGCTAAACCGTCCGTTTGTTTGTAAAATTCCTTGATGTATTGGAAGTAAGCTGACTGTAGGCAAATAGTCGTTAGTTCTATGATGGCCTCTCTCTTCATGTCAGTTTATTCTATGTGGCAGAGAATTGTCATTCAGCAATCGCTGTCTGGTGATATGAAGGGTTTCTGAGGTTGAAACATTGGTAAATACATTCAGCAATCGCTGTCTGGTGACATGAAGGGTTTCTGAGGTTGGAACACTGGTAAATAGATCTGTGACATCAAACCTCACAGGAATATCCTGGGATCTGGTGTGTACCTTTTTGAGTTGTTCTATGAAATATTTTGAGTCGTGATCCTAATGTTCAGTATTCCTTCATTGGTGGCAAGGTGAGTTTATAGCACTGGCGATAGGTCTTAAAGGTATGTTAGGTTTGTGTACTTTAGGCAGTTCATAAAACTGAGGGAGAAAGCTGTCGTTGTTCTTAAGTCTTTGGCTACATTATCGTTGATTAAGTTTTGTTTCTTATGTTTGTTTATTGTTCTATTGATTAGTCTCTCAGTATTTTCCATAGAGTTAGTGGCAATCTTCTTGTATTGGTGTTTGCCTAGTAATTGATTGATCTTCGTTTCATAATCATTGACGTCTAGGATGACTATAGCGTTTCCTTTATCTGCTGGTAGAATCTTGATTTTGTTGTCCTGTTTTAGACGATTCAGTGCATTACATTCCTGTTTAGTGATGTTATGTTTTGGTTTGTTGGCATTTGTTGGAGTAAGTTTGATTTCGAAATTGATAGCCATAGGTTTCGGGAGGTTTTGTGCAGTTTTTCCACCAATCAGAAACAGGGATAAACAAATTAATCACAACACGCCCTCCACAATCTACCAGGATAGCATAAATACCTGTAACATCTTACACACACTGACCTGAAGATGGAAAACTTTCGAAACGTCGTCCTCTACACTTGAATTTTGACAACAGGCAGTTGTCGTCCATTCCAGTTTACTCATCAAGTTGTATAACATATTACTTTCATTACTAAGACACTTGCACTAATATTTTAATTTCACCTGCTAATACTCATGTTTAGCTATTCATTTAGTTAATATATTCAATACTCTTTCATTTCAGTGGTCAGGTCAGACAGCTTGAAAGGTCGTCGTGGTCGGCTACCCTCTAAACATAAGTCTTACCACGAGTCGCCACCATCGCCTCCCGTCAGTCTGATTACCTCGTTGGTTCGTGCTCACGTGGATGCATCTCCAGATATTGCCAGCATGGATTATTCTCAGGTACAAATCACTGAAAAAAGTATTTTTCAGTACTACATATAATGCTGGACATTCATAGTTGATGCTAAAATGCATTTTAAACCTATGGTTCCAGAAGAAAAACTAATGTTGTTTATAACGATCTACCTGAAGTAAAAAAGAATGATTAACGCCCACAAAAACACCACTTATTCTTTAATGACTTAACCATTTTCGAAATGAAATTGAACATCAGGATCTCATGAAAATATTTTTAAACTTGTAAATATATAGTCAGTAAACTACAAACCACCAGGAGAAATTAATGAGAAACTCTACAATGAGATTAAGACTTTAGTTGTTAATGAGGTCATAATTACTGAGTACTTTAATTTCTGGCATTGGGAAAAGTTAGAGTCAAATCAAGAGGGGGCAGGTTTTTAGAAACCGTTCAGGATGGTTTTATTCTTCAATTGCTCAGGAAATCTACTAGGTACATTGATATGTTACATTTATTAGGTGACATCCGACTGAAAGTAATCATTGAGCAATTAGACTTGATATTTTACTGCATATGAAGGTCAGAAATAATGAGATTTTGGTCACAAATTTCGAAAAAGCAAATTGTGAAGAGATGCGACAAAAATTATCTGATCTGAATTGGGCAATTGAATTAATTGGAGAAACTTACCAAATGTGGACATTTTTAGAATAGATGTTTCAATATTCAAGATAGACATGGTATAAATGATAAAATTAAAGAAAAGGATTTAAATTTTAAGAAGCTTAAATTGACTGCTATGCCAGGATAATTAAAGGATTACAGAAAAGTTAGCTGAGAATGTAAAAACTAACAGTAAGAATGTCATTAAATATATCAAGGGTAAGTAAAATGTTAGGATGAGAGTACAGTCTTTGAAGAATGATAAAGGAAGGCTTATATCTGATGATAATGAGTTGGGTCTGTTACTAAATTCTAATTTTTCTAATGAAGATTTAAGAAATATTCCTTGTCCGGAACAGTTGCTAGATGAAAACAAAATCGAACAAGATGATCATATTCATTGTGAGCTTGTTAAGAAAACCTTGGAAAGTTTAAAGAATGATAATTAAGGCTCATGTGTCAGATAATATACCGCCAAGGATTTGAAGGGGGATGAGGTTTAGATGTGTGAGCCATTTGCTACTATTTCTTATAAGTGCTTGAACAGTGCAAGAGGATTGGAAATTGGATAATGCTACTTCCCTTTTCTAGGGCGGTGATATATTGTCCCAGCAATTATAGACTTATCAGTAGTGGGAAAAAGGTTTTGAAATTCAGATAAAAGATGCATTGCTAAGTCATTTAACAAAGTTTAAAATTTTGTTGGATAGTTTACAATGATCTCTCTAGGGGAAAATCTTGCATTACTAAACCTTTGACATTCTTTGAAGAGGTTGTTACTAACTTAAACGAGGTTAGAGGTGTGTATTTGATGTATCTGGGTTTACAGAAAGATTTTGACAAGGTGTCACATAAAAGGCACGTTAAAAATGTTCTCTATAAGTGTGGAGGATAAGTTGGCTCACTGAATAGAAAAGTGACTGGATGGAAGAAAGCAGAGGGTTGTTATAAATGGAGTTCAGTCAAACTGAATAATTTCACAAGTGTGGTATCTCATTGTTACGAACTTTGTCCCTTTTGATTTACATCAATCACATATATGAAGGAATAGTCAAAACATTACTATATTTGCTGATGATATTAATGTTTTGGGTGTTGCTGGCTGTGAGGAGTATGCTGTTGTTTTACAAAAGGATTTAGACTATTTGGTGAGTTGGGCAAATAAATGGCAGTTGGCTTTTAATTATAATAAATGCAATGTATGTGGGTTAACATAATATGAATTATAAGTATAATTTTGATGGGCATAAATTTAACAGAGTTATGTAAGAAAAGTATATTGGCGTTCTGGTTGATCAGTTTGTAAAGCCATCAAACTAATGTGTTGTTGTTAGCTGTAGGACAAGTAGGATTTTAGATTGTTTCTACAAAAACATGGAATACAAATCTAAAAAGGTTATAATGTCATTATATAAATCGTTGGTTAGGCCACACTTGGAGTAATGTATTCAGTCTTGGGCCTTTTACATTACCTTACATTAGGAAGGACATTGAATTGTTGAAAAGGATTCAGAGGAGCGCTACTAGGATGACATCTGGAATGGAAAGGTTGTCATATGAGGGCAGGTTAAGATCTATAAAATGGTTTTCTCTTCAAGTTAGAAGGGGTCTGATTAAAGTGTTAAAGATTGTTAAGGGAATCAGTAGTGTCTATGCATCATTTTTTGTACTTAATGGTGAGAGTGGTAGGACTAGAGGACACAAGTATTAATTTTAGCAGGGAAGAATTCATCTTCAGCTGAGACACTTATCTTATAACACGGTAGATAGCTTTTGGAATATATTACCTTCAGATGTAGTGGATGCTGCAAATTTAAGGAAGTTTAAGTGAAGTCTTGATAAACATTTTAATGATAAGGGGTGGTTTCGGTGTCATTTTAAGTTTAGTTTACTGGATAGGGCGGCGAAGATGAACCAGCAAGTCTCTTTTTGTCGTTAAATTCTATGTATTGCAGTAGTTGAACATGTAGGAATTGTGTTGTTGCAGTTGAAAATGTCGTAGCGTAGAGATTGCATTTAGAGCTGAGCGATATAACCCATTACTTATGAGCAGCAGTTGCATCGATTAGTGTCACATAAAAAATCGACTAATCGAAATTAATGTATTTGATTTGTTACTGTTTTTGATTATTCCAACAATTGATTAATCAAAATTTTGATTAAACCTGTTGTCACGAAAATAATCAACTAATTGAAATTAGTGTTTCCGATTATTACGATCTTCGAGTATTCCAAGTATCCATATAATCGAAATCTTTCCAACAAACTTGCTCGCCTCTTCTTTGCCATAGCAAAGATAATAAGGCTATCTGCCACTATCAGTGACTTTAAACTGCCGACTTGAGAGAAAGCAACTGGCTGGCAATTCACACTACGAACTTTTGTTTTTGCTTGTATGTACCATGGCTTGAGAGACTCTGTGTTGATTGATTAATCGAATGCAAATTTATTAATGGGGCCATAAATTAATTGATTAGCAAATACCACTAATCATCCAGGTCTAATTGCATTTCAGTGTTTGAAGATGTAGTAGAGATTATATTGCTGTTGTTAAAGAAGATGTAGTAGAGATTATATTGCTGTTGTTAAAGATGTATGGATTGTACTACAGTAGTTGAAGATGTACGAATTAAGTTGCAGTAGTTGAAAATGTAATAGGGATTGTGGTGGTGATATGACTGTGGTGCACTATTATGATTGTAAGTACCTCATGAATTTGTGTAGTTTTTAACATTAACGTAATTTCTGAATTAAAGTCTGCCTTTTATCAAAGATATGGTGGAAGGATCGTTTTTAGTACTTGCTGCTATAGTTGTTGTTGTTTTGTTTTTACCAATACAGCATATAAAAGGCATTTTTGTGTTTATTAGTTTAGAGAGCCATCGTCAAGTGAAAATCCCCTTTCAGACTCTGAACAAGTCCATCAGACTCTCAGTCTAATAACTTCATCCTTGGAAGTTATTCGAATATTCGCTGAAAAGATTCCTGGCTTCCCAGAACTCAATAAAGAAGACCAAGAACTTTTGTTTCAATCAGCTTGTCTTGAACTGTTTGTTCTCCGACTGACATATTGGTAAACTGAAATTACAATGCTTTATTGTGAAAATAAGCTTAAAATAACAATATCTTTTAAAACATAATTTACCATTAATTTAGGTATCCTGAACAAATATATAATTCTGTTCACTCGCAGAAAGATCCAAACTAAAAATATATTGGCATAGACGTATCATATTTGTGCTAAAAGAAACTTCTACTAATACTATATTCACAGATTTCAAAGAAAGTTTTGTACATTTAGTCATCCGGAAGTTAAGTGAGTGCTAACGTTTATTCATAAGCATATGCGGCCCGGCATGGCCAGGTGGTTAGGGCACTCGA